CCATATTATTGGTTCTTGGCTAACATGGAAGTACAGGAAGATTCACTTAATGCCAAATACTGTTCTACGGTCAACATAATTAATCCATCTTTCATAAACTCGATTTTAAGAAGTTCACGGCGGCTGGTTTATTTCAAGTTACCGAAATAAATAAGTAGGCCATATTTGATGCTACACTTGAGTTCCGATTAAACAGGTAATGCTATTGATCAGGGCTCATGCTGTCAGTCCGTTTAAGTCGCCGGCAATAACAAACTATGTTATTTCGTACCAAGAATAAAAATAGCACCCAACACATTCTCATTTGCAAACGTCAAAAAAGTTCTTCTTAAATTTATTAAAAAGAGAAGATTTCCAATCGTATAATAGATCGTGATTGTCCCTCTCGTGAGGCCTGGAGGACTCATCACAATCAGTTTGCTTCCCAGAATCATATCCTCACTTCACACAATGCTTTCTCTTTATAGAATTCACCCACGAGTCTACGTGGAAGGATGTATCCAAACGGAACAGATGTGAGTACATCAAATCACATGTTCCGAAGACTATCTTTGATGATTGCTATACCAGTTATCACATTGGATGGGCTCGTTTTGATTATTGGAATTCTGAGAAATCTGTTTGTATTAACGGTGATATCTGTTTACACAGTGGTTCAACAAAATGATTAGTTGTATCCAAGAATACAACCCTAGATTAAAATTGAATGCTACTTAAATGCCACCTTAAATTCATTTATCTACTGTATGCCAAGTGAAAGGTTTGAAAATTCTGCTGCAAAGCTCATTAACGGGTACATGTCATTAGCTGCTGCATCTGATCTATGTAGAGCTGCATATTTACCTATCATTGGGTTTAAGGATAAAGTATATGGCAGAAGAGTGATTCAAACCTCTTTTTGTATTCAAAGACTGGAATAACCTCCATCTTGCAGAAATTTTGATGAAAAACACCTTAAATTTTACAATCAACATATAACACAGGAAGACAGATAATCAGTGACTTGACATATAAATCCCCAACTGAGTGTAAAACAGTTTTAACCATTTAACAGCCCTCAAGATGCATTGCATTTAAAGTTTGTTCTTTGCTCTTTTAAAATAGCAATTTTTAGTAAGTTCTTATTGAATAACTACAGTACTTGAAGATGATTATTGTTATACAATTGTAAAACTAATATACAAACTTGAATTACATTATAGTGGCTAGTGTTGCCCACCTTGACATGTGATTGGATGTTCATCCAGAAGGTGAAATAAATTTTAAAATATCTGTAGAAAATATAGGAACAACTAGAAGGTTCTAAAATGGTTCATGACTCAGTTTCCTTGCAAAGGAAAGCTAAAACAGTTTTGAAACATTCATCATTAAAACCACACACTTTGTTGTCCACATCCAAAGTCTCAAATAAAAGTGGTTTGTGTTTAGCATTTGTTACCTCAAAAAGATTCATGCTGTGTGAAACCCATGCAAAATTCTTGATTCCAAAGTCTTCCTGAAATGAGAGTGTGTTCAGTTGATAGCACATCAAAGTGCACTGGATTCCATCTGTGATAACACACTTAGTAACAAGTGGCTTCTGCAAGTGTTGACCCATCTGAACACCATAATCCATTGCCAGGGCAACCAGAGAACCAAACATGCTCATGATTCCATAAGCTTGCTGCTGATCATACGTCAGTTTGTTTATGTTTGTCAGAAACATTGCATGATTGTAGGGGTATTTGTAAAATGCACTGTTCTGAAAGCCTGGTTTGTTCTGTAGATGTAAGATGGGATGGCGGAAGACATTGATGCTGTAGTTATCAAATGGACCAGGGATTGTTTCCAAGGATGTTTTTTCTACATCTGTAGGTAAAGAAAACAAAAATGAGTCAGATTAGTTTTGGCAAAGTGTAAGTGTATTTTTACAGTAAATATGAAACTCCATACCCTGAATGCTGGAAATCATATTTGCCAAGCTTGATAAACAATAACTATCAAATAAGACCTCATAACCCCTACACATACCAAGCTTGGATTATCACTGGTGAACTGCTGCTTCCAAGGTTGTAATGTTATTAAGCAGCAAGGGTGGATTACTCTCTCTTAAGTGGTGTATGCCTTAGTATAAACTTGTGTCTATAGTAGTAGTTAAAACTTAATTTACACAGGGTAGCCTATTCAGCTCCAAGGCTGGTCTCCATAGGGACCCTGTACCTTTAAAAATCAATTTACATCAATAATTTTCAATAACTATCACATTCAAAGAGCCTAATACAAATACAACAACAGAATTGATGAACTACATTAAGAGCCTAGAAAGTACAATGCAAAATCACTTTTAGAGCCTAAAATATAATAAAACATCAAATTCATGATAAAAAGAAATGTCTTGCTTGGGGGCAGAACATCTGAGGGTTTTCACTCTTCAAAATGTTTACAAGGAGTTTGTTAAAAATTTTTGCACCACTTAAAAAGAAAGGTCCTCTTCCCAAAATTCTGTTTCATGTTTGGTAGGGATAGCCTCATACTTTGCCTTGCAGAATAATTGTGAATGATCAAAAATCTAGTAAAATATAATGAAAAATAACTAGGGACTAATGAGTGAAGACAGAGAAAAACGAGTTAAGCCTAATGTGGTCAGAGCATCTACTGGAAAGAGTTGGCCAGTGCAGCTGCTCTATTGCCTCAGATGAGTGAGAGCAATGCGTGATGATCCATGCAGATCTATTCTGTGGGTACTGCAGTTGATCTATATCTCGCTGTAGAAGGTTACTCCAGGCAATGTCACAGTAATCATATAATGGAAGAATTAAAGTGTTGTGAACAAGTGTTGCTGCCCCTTTTGTGACGAAACTTCTAACACAGCCAATGATACTAACTCTTGGGCCACTCAACCTGCCTATACCATTTGGCAGAAAATGTCAGGGAAAGAATTCCACCTTCAGAAGGCCATAAAAAGATTTAAGTTTTCTGAAACCATGGTTTCCATTAAGAAATGTAACAGTAGGAAACAGTGTAAAGTAACAAGAGAATACACTACACAACAGCTCCACAACTGAATAAAAATATAGTTGGGCCATTAAAATTAAGCCCAATAAAATTAATATCGTAGACATAGTATTCTCAGATCACAAAAGCCTTGTTAACACTGTGTGGTACTTCTTGGGATACAAACCATGTGAAAGCACTTTGTAAATATCTTATGTTCACTGATTGACCATTGAACAAAACCAAACCACACTTGGAGAACAGAAAACTTGTTTTTGCTGTTTGAACACACTTAATTGAGTTTGGTTGTATTGTGATTTTTCCGTTTTTCATATTGATTACCTACTTAGACAAGTATTTCAAACACAGACCTCATACTCCACTAATAAGGTGTAATAAGAAATTTCTCATCAGAACTACAGCAACTGAGTTGATTTATATTGTCAATGTTCCAATCAAAGAGTTAAGTTGTTTCACTTACTTGGCTCTAGAAGTTGGGATGGTTGTTTTGTTCGAATAACAAATGCCGGCTCTTGATCCAACTGGTAAAAGTTATGATGTCTGGCCCAGTGGATCCTCATCTTGGGCTTCAAATCAAGAAAACAATCATCCAAATGACGATGTCGATCAGATAACGACCATCCAAACCTAAGCAAATCTTGCAAAAACCCCATGGTCATTTCCTCTCCTCTTCGTCTAAACCTGTGGTTAGCACTAATTCCTTCTTTGCGGAAAGCATGGTTTTGTAGGATGGACTCCTTAAATTTTTCTCTCAGATGTTCATATTCTTTATCATCCAGGAAATTGTCTACGTTTGAAAAGGGAGCAGGTAGTCCCTCGAACAACTTGGTTTTAGTAAGCCACTGATATTTTGAGCTGGCTTCAAACACACTTGTTGTCGAAGGATGCACGATGAAAGCTTTGGCGATCACATGTTTTGGGACTATCAATGGAACTCCCGTCTGACGAGTTTCTTTATGTTGTTGTTGTACGGCTACAGCGCAGAGTTGACGGCAAACAAACCGCCAGGTGCAGCAAATTTGTTGATTGCTTAACACACGTTGTCGGAGAAAAGTAACGGCCATCTTGGATTGCTTGTCAAGCTGAGCCAGCGATACCTAAAACTTAACGAGACCGGATCTCTGGAAAACCTTTAGTAAAACCGAAGAGACTCTAGGCCCAAGGTTAAAAAGCTAACGCCAAGCCACACAAGGTTCTGTCCCTTGAATGGAAATCTTCAACACCATGAATAATGCAAACTTCTGCTCATGAGACCCTCTCCCCTCCTATACAGCCCCAAATAAATTACACCCATTTAAAGCACCTCTATTTCTAGATTGTGTTCAAAATATTGAAATAAATTTTATTTACTTTATTGTTGTAATGTAGTGGCGGTGACCTTTGCAACCATGTGCTTTTGAGAGTCCACCATCTTAACAATAAAATTGTTGTGGTCCTGGATTCTTGTGTGTTTTCTTCTATCGCAAAGCTACTACAATTTTGAAGCTTAATTATAACCAAAAAAAAAGAAAACGCATTTCAAACAGTTACTCTCCTTAGGGTCATTTCTAGGTAATTTTCACTCTGTTTACCCCCATATCTTTCCCTTTTATCATTCTTTTTCACTTCCCATACAAGTTTACCAGCCCATCAAAAGCCCTTCACAGAGTTGCAAGAATTGATTGTCAGTCAACAGTCAGAGGTGGAGAAAGCAAGGTTACAGTCCAATTTCAAATGTTAGAAATTCACCAAAAGTATTAAATGAAGGGCACCTAAAACTCCTCTGATGAACTGATGACAAATTTCATAATCTAACAATATTTCAAAGGAAAAAAGGGACTGGAAGTAGAGAAATAATAGGTTCACACAGGAAGTAATGGCCTCCTGGATCACATTTCAAAATATCAGGTGGTGTTAACTAATAACATAGTGTTGGCTGAATGGAACATCACAACTACTCACATTCCAACACATTTATTTTCTTTTATTAAGAATCTCTTCTGCTACGTTTGAAATCAAAATTGACACAAAACACATTTCATTATGATGGCTGACCATGACATTTGGCTCCTCACAGAGTGCCAAAAGAGACCATTATATTACAGCATTGATGAGCACTTGATATTGCTTGTTATCATCCAACACAGTTGAGCCTGTCCAGTAATGCCTTGTGATGAAGTAACACCTCTTTATTGCACCCCTTTAGGCATCTTTAATGCTTAACAATAACATAATTCAATTCAGTCTTCTTCAATGTTTTAAAACCTTAGTGTTTCCACAAATTATCATTGTAAAAAATAAGTTAAGTTGAAAACAATCCATTACTGCTAGGTGGACCACTGTTGAATCCAAGCTTCTATTTGCTCAAGATTTGTTTCTAGTTGTTCAGGAGAGTCACTTTGCAGTTCATGAACTATTTCGTTTCTGTAACTTTCCCTAGCTTCTTCAAGTATTGTTTGAAAAATTTCACATTCCACATTTTCAGTTAACTTTTTCCCTTTGTAGCCCCTGAGGAATAATAATAAAAAAAGGAAAAAATACCATATTTTACTTTGCATTACCTCATACAATGCAAAATCCTCTGATTAGCACTTGAATGCTCTGACCACTGAGCTATGAGAGACTCCAACTATCAATTAGGTGAATGTAATTATAGATCTGCCTTAGCTTATAAAACAATTCACTTGTTCTACTTCTGCTTTAGCTTCCACATCAGTTGTTAATTACTTTACAATGAGTCAACTTATAGTGAGTGACAAAAGTGGTATACAAGTTTTCATCACTACTAAACTGCATGTTTAATGAAAAATGCATTCAAAGATTGTGTCCATTCAGTATAACGAGGACAAATAATACTTTATACTATGCAAAGCTACATCAGCAAACATCCTTCACACTGCTGGCATTTTATAAATTACGTGAAATATGTTGAACTCTTACATGGATGAAATCTACTGGGAGAACACTTCAATTGTTTAAATGGAATCATTCTGCCCTGATATATAGGTTTATGCTAGGCCTAATGCACACAGTAATTAATAATAGTCAGAGAAGCTTAAATCTGATATCACTAATAAAGTTTAGAAGTAAGTTTACCTTTTTTCAAGCCTTTCATAAAGTATTGCGTTGTTTGTTCGTAACACAAATACAATATCAAACCACCTCTCTGGAAAAAAGTCACAACCATGATAATCAACAATGTTACCGCCTTCACTCATCTGATCCTCCAATTCATCAATCACCTGAAGTAAATAAACAAATAAACAAAAACATAATAATCAAAAAGCTGTGAAGAGATTAGGTGGTGAGGAAAGGGAGTTCATTTCCTTAAATGGAGGGAGCCATAATGGATTTGATACTTCAGCCATAGAGTTTGGGAATGGAGAGGGTAAGT